CAGGACCCCACCTTGATGTTTCAGGACCCCACTTTGGGTCCCGACCCCAACTTTGGGAAAGACTGCCCTAAAGCACTATTAGGGGAACTAATTTACGGTTAACTTTAGAGTTTTTGCTATTTTTTATTCATTAGTGTATTAGCACTTGCTAAATTATTAACAGCTGAGGGTGACAGCGGCACACATTTTTTCCATATATTAGTGCTTTAGAATTAGCTTTTGCTAAATTTTTCAGTGTGTTAGTGCTTTAGAATTAGGGGACTTAAATATCTGAGTTAATGCTTTAGGGTTAGGGTAATTAATTTTTATATTAATGCTGCCCACCACTGCTTTTTATCATCTGTCTGCTAAATTCAACTCATTTATGCTACTTTTAGCTGCTTTTTGCTAATTTTAGCTACTTTTCTGATCTGTTCAGTTTGACACATTTTCCTGTTTTGTTTTCCTTTCAGCAAAAGTCAGCTTTACTCACATGAACAGTTTTGRTATTAAAGCTTTTCAGGACAACTTCAGTAGCTTTCAGCTAAAATCTTTTAGCATTAGCATCGCTCTGCATTTTCACAGGAAATGCTAATTTTCTAGTTACAAAAACCTCGTGACATTTGCACAAATCTTGGGAAAGTTGTGTAAACTGTTTACAGATTCATACAAAGAAAACCTCAGATACAAATAGAAGCATTTTTATTTGACATCTAGAACAACATCAACATATAAAAGCTCAGACATCTTAACCTGGACAGGTGACTCCAGGTGAGTCAAACCTAGACAGGTATGATAAACCTGGACAGGTGTTATAAACCAGGAAAAGTGTAATATACCTGGACAGGTGTGGTATACCTGGACAGGTGAGATATACCTGGACAGGTGAGATATACCTGGACAGGTGAGATATACCTGGACAGGTGTGATATACCTGGACAGGTGAGTGTACGGACATCAAGGCTGGAGTTGTTCACAGTTCAGTGAGTTTTCTGTCCTCGTGGAAAGCTTCACTTAACGTCTAACCTGACTTTGATGTTCATCGCTGCGAGCTCGGCCACAAAGTAGCGGAAGACGTACGGGACYGACACCGAGTCGATGGAGTCGCTCTTGCCGCACAGGGTGCAGGTGGTCTTCCTGTGGCAGGTGGAGGACCAGTAGGGGGGCGGTTTCTCCAGCAGCGGGGACAGGAGGCTGCCGCAGTCCACGCACACCTGAGCCACCGAGCGGTCCGAGCAGTTGAAGAGGCGGTCGTGGAGCAGGAAGGACGAGCCGTGAGCCAGCAGGGCGTCGCGCTCCATCTCCCCAAAGCGGATGCCCCCCTGGACGTTCCTGCCCCCCACGGGCTGATTGGTCACCTTGTCCCGCAGCCCGGTGGTCCTCACCTGGAACTTGTCGGAGACCATGTGGCGCAGGCGCTGGTAGTAGACCACGCCGATGAAGATGTCCGCCTCCAGCTCCTGCCCGCTCAGCCCGCTGTACAGCCGCTCCGTGCCGTAGTAGTTGTAGCCGCCGGCGCGCAGCATCTCGCCGAAGTACTCCAGCGCCGAGCTCTCCTCGGAGAAGGTGAAGGGCGTGGCATCGTGGCTCAGGCCGTGCAGGGCGCCGGACTTCCCCGCCATGCTCTCGATCAGCATGCCGATGGTCATCCTGGACGGGAAGCCGTGGGGGTTGAACAGGATGTCCGGGGACATGCCGCTCTCCGTGAACGGCATGTCCTCGGCGGGCCACAGGCGGCTCAGGATGCCCTTCTGACCYTGGCGGCTGGCGAACTTGTCACCGATGGTGGGGTTCCGTGGCATCCGGACCGTGATGCAGACGCGTTTGAAACGACCCGAGCCGGAGTCGTTGCTGCAGATCTTTATGTTGTCCACAAAGCAGGCCTCGTGGCTCCTACAAACCAAATCAAACCATCAGACGCTCGAAGGAGACCTTCTCCAAGCTAGGGGTCGACCAATACATCGGCCGGCCGATATCTGTGTATTTTTTTCCTTGTATCAGTTTCGGCCAATATTTTCGTCTGTTCGTCCGATCCATTCTTTGGATCTCWTGAGCTCATATATCCGCCCCCTACCTGGGAGAGAGCAGCTGGTAATGTTGTTAGACAGAGTGCTAATAACAATAAYGGTGAGTTARGAACTTTTAATGAGTTTTAACTGTCTAATGTAGTTGTTTCTGCCCTCTGTGTCAGAATATGAGGAGGAGAGAACAGCTGTGTGTTAAGATTCATTTTAAAGGGATCCAGGATTAGTTGTAACATTAGACTTTATTTGACAAACATATAGTTTAACTGTAAAATAAAGACTAAAAATACTGTAGGATGTTTAGTTTTTATCATTTTTAAACTAAAAAATTTAAAATATATTTTAACATGGACTGAGCCATTTTATCTACACATAAAGCATTCTGGGTAAATGATGACAGATAGGTCCTCGGTGCGAGGCTGCTAGCGAGC